TATTTTAATAATATTTTTTAAATAATATTTAAATAATGTCGTAAAAACTTTTAACATTTAAAGTATAAAATATCTTAATTTTTATTTTTTTCTCCTTAAATTTAATTTTATAAAGCAAAAAAAGAAAACTTGCAAAAACTCAAAAATAAAAGTTCGGTCAAAGTCAAACAACCCTAATTATTAGGTTCAAAACCTCGATCTAAATACGAGTTGTTGCTCTTCCAAAGCTGCTCTCGTTTCCTCGCTCGCCTCTCATTAGAATTCAAATTGTGTTTCCAGTCGTTGCTCTACGTCTGCACTTGCATACATAATGACTGAGGTCGCTTTCGCCCTCCTCGTTATCCCTGTTATTGAGGAGGCACTCTCTAGATTCGCTTCGCCGCTCGACAGTAGAATCAGACCACTCTGGAATTCAGGGGATTTGAAGAAGGAGCTGGAGAAGCTGAAGGATTCGCTCAAATTGATAGAACCTCTCCTCAATAAGGCAGATCAAATGCAAAGTGATGAAGGCACAAGGGATTGGCTGCAGAGGCTCCAAGATGCAGCTGATGATCTGCGGGATCTGCTGGATGAGCATGCATATGGAGTTCACCGGCAGAAAGGTTGGATTCAAAGCCAATTCAAGAAACAGGTGCACCATTTCCTTTTTCCCTCCAAATCTATGCTTAGCAAAATTAAGGAGATTAATGTGTGTTTCCATAGAATTGCACAAGAATCAAATTTTATTAGACTGATGAATTACGACCAAAATCGTGAAGCTCCTAGGCGAGAAGCTGATGATTCATTTTATAATTTTAAAGTTTTGGGAAGGGATGCTGATGTCTCAAAAATTGAAAGTTTGCTGGATGAGTTGAGCCAGAAACATCACCTCTCTGGCCTTTCCATAGTGGGCATGCCAGGTGTTGGAAAGACAGCAGTAGCTAGATCAATATGTGTGACGGCAAGGGAAAATCACTCCTCCAGTCTGGTGGCCTGGGTGCCGATACGTAAGGATCTTGAAGAAATGATGATTTTACGACAGATGTTGCAATATCTTGATAGCCATGCTGGTGGAATGACAGATATCGATCCAATACTTTCTCATCTTACACCGAAGTTAGAAAATAAAAAAATTCTTCTCATCCTTGATGGTTTATGCAATGAAGAAGATGCTCGGTGGTTGAAAGAGTTCATCTCTCGTCTGCCACAAAGGTTCAAAACTGCTAGGATCTCTGTTGTCATAACAACTAGTAATAAAGAGGTAGCTTCACTAATGATGGACACAATTCCTTGGCCCAAGTATGAATTGCAAAAGCTATCAGATGAAGACTGCTGGTTGATAATGGAGGAGAATGTTCTCAGATCGTCCAGCGGAACTTCAATAGAAGATCATTCACGGTTGTTGCTTATTGGAAAAGATATTGCAAAACAGTGTGGGGGTTTGCCATTAGTTGCAGCTGTCTTTGGCAAACACTTGGGCGCTCATATTGGGGTAAATGAGTGGTCAGCTATCAGAGATAATAAAGCATGGCATGCACCACATAGACCGGAGATTCTGTCTCACCTGAAAAAAAGTTACGATTGCTTGCCCCCACATTTGAAAAAATGCTTTTCTTTCTGTTCAATTTATCCAAAAAATTTTAAAATTAGAAGAGATGAATTAGTTCAGCGTTGGATGGCTAATGGGTTTCTTTCCCAATCTACTGACAGCAAATCAGATAAAGAAGATGTTGGTAACCAGTACTTCAGTGATTTGGTATCCAATTACTTATTGGAAGATGTGGATATGGATGAGTGTGGGAATATGAAGTTTTGCAAGATGCATGACGAGGTGCATAATCTTGCATTGCTTTCAGCAAAATATGAAACATATATTTGGCCGGATACCCATGCAGTTGAGGAGAGTGTTCGGCATATGAGGGTTCAGTCTGATGAAAACCTTCAAGCTGTTCCAAAAGGTGTTGCTCAAAGGTTGCGCTCTTTGTTCTTGGATGTTAATGTTTTGCACATGATGCCTAAGAAGTCCAGAAGTTTGCAATCTTTAAAGCTCACAGCTGCTGATGCAAATGAGTTGGAATCTTCTCTTGGCAGATTGAAATATTACATGAAATACCTTGACATATCAAAAAGTGCAATTGAAAGGCTGCCAAAATCTGTCTCCAAGCTCTACAATTTGCAGACTTTAAGATTCACGGACTGCAAATCATTGGAAAAGCTCCCAAGTGGTATTAAAAATCTAGTCAGCTTGAGGCATATTTATTTTGATGATGAAAGGCTCGTGCCAAGTAGCATTGGGAAATTAACTTCTCTTCAGACTTTACCGCTATTTGTTGTGGGCACAGGAAAGGGTCGGAGAATTGAAGAGCTTGAAAATTTGAAGGAACTCAGAGGAAAACTGAAAATTTGCAAGCTTGAGCTAGTATCTCCATCAGAAGCTAGTAAAGCAAAACTTAAAGAAAAAGGAAAATTGATCAAGTTGCAATTTGTATGGAGTAAAGACGGAGCCAACAAAGATATGGGTGTTCTGGAAGGTCTTCAACCTCACTCAAATTTGCAAAGCTTAACCATTGAGAATTATAGGGGAGGCAACTGGCCTTCATGGATGACGAGCAAGGGTTCACCTCCTTCCTCTCAACTTAACAGACTTGTGAAGTTGAAATTGATTGATTGTGATGAATGTGGTGATATTTCGTGCCTTGAACTCTTACCTGAGCTTAAGATTCTCAATATAAAGGCAATGCCAAATGTGAGGAGGATAGGCAGAATGTCTTATCATCAAAGTAGCAGCATGGCAAGCAGCAGCATGGCAAGCAGTAGCATGGCAAGCAGCAGCCAAGGCGGGGGACAATCAATAAAACCATTTCCAGCTTTGAAAAAACTTGAGTTAAGGAACATGACACAGCTGGAGGAATGGACAGGGGCACAAGGCATGGTCGTGTTTCCTTGCCTTGAGGAGTTGCATATTCAGCATTGCCCCCAGCTCAGAACATGGTGCACAAGCAGCAGCCAAGGCGGGGGACAATCAATCCTACCATTTCCGGCTTTGAAAAAACTAACGTTAAGGGAGATGACAAATCTGGAGGGATGGAAAACAGCACAAGGCATGGTTGTGTTCTCTCACCTTGAGGAATTGCATATTGGGGATTGCTCAGAGCTCAAAACATGGTGCGCAAGCAACAGCCAAGGTAAAGGAGATTCAATTACACCATTTCCAGCTTTGAGGAAACTTACTTTAAGCAACATGACAAAGCTGGAGAAATGGACAGAAGCACAAGGCATGATTGTGTTTCGTTGCCTTCAGGAGTTGCATATTCGGGATTGTCCAGAGCTCAATACATGGTGGCCAAGCAGCAGCCAAGGTGAAGGAGAATCAATCCTACCATTTCTAGCTTTGAGAAAACTAACATTAATTAAGATGACAAAGCTGGAGGGATGCAAAACAGCACAAGGCATGGTTGTGTTTTCTTGCCTTGAGGAGTTGCATATTGGGGATTGCCCGGAGCTCAAAACATGGTGTGCAAGCAACAGCCAAGGCAGAGGAGATTCAATTATACCATTTCCAGCTTTGAAAAAACTTACTTTAAGCAACATGACAAAGCTGGAGAAATGGACAGAAGCAGAAGGCATGGTCGTGTTTCCTTGCCTCGAGGAGTTGCATATTGAGCATTGCCCCGAGCTCAAAACATGGTGGGCAAGCAGCATCCAAGGTGAAGGAGAATCAATCCTACCATTTCCAGCTTTGAGAAAACTAACGTTAAGTAAGATGACAAAGCTGGAGGGATGGAAAACAGAACAAGGCATGGTTGTGTTTTCTTGCCTTGAGGAGTTGCATATTGGGGATTGCCCAGAGCTCAAAACATGGTGCGCAAGCAACAGCCAAGGCAGAGAAGGTTCAATTACAGCATTTCCAGCTTTGAGAAAACTTAATTTAAGCAACATGACAAAGCTGGAGAAATGGACGGAAGCACAAGGCATGGACATGTTTCCTTGCCTTGAGGAGTTGCATATTGAGCATTGCCCTGAGCTCAAAAAATGGTGGGCAAGCAGCATCCAAGGTGAAGGAGAATCAATCCCACCATTTCCAACTTTGAGAAAACTTACTTTAAGCAACATGACAAAGCTGGAGAAATGGACAGAAGCACAAGGCATGGTTGTGTTTGATTGCCTTGAGGAGTTGCATATTCGGGATTGTCCAGAGCTCAAAACATGGGGGGAAGATGAATCTGCATATCCGAAACTCTCTATGCTAGGCATACAATCATGTCCGAACTTGCAGGCTATCCCAAGTGGGCTGTCGAACTTAACATCTCTTGATATAAACAATTGTCCCAAATTAATGGAGTATGCTCAAGAAGGCAGCTGCAAATGGTCATCCATTCGCCACGCTCATAGGATCAGAATCAATGAGCAGATTGTGCGATCCCAAAGGTCTCGATTTTTCAAAGGTATGTCAAATCCATATTTCTCAATGCGATCCCTTCATACCATATTTTATTTATCTAAATTAGGCTAGTGGTTGAACAGTTGCATTTGTTTTATGATCTTAATATCTGGTTGAATCCCTTTATCCCAAAGATTTTGAGCCAGATAATAATCTAATTCTTTACATTCATTTTATGATCTCAATATCTGGCTAAATCACT